AACTTCATTTGCTATTAGCACACTATCTAGAATGTACCTACCACTCACAAAAGCTGTATGCACCTCACTGATCACAAATGGGAGGACCCTCTTGAGTCTATTGGACAGCACCTTTGCTAAGATCTTATAGACGGAGCTTACCAAGCTGTAGACACCCCATTTTTGACCAACCTTAAGACTTAGACGTCACTGATTGAGCGCTCAGTGATATTGCATATTGTACTCGTTCAGAAGTTTCAGAGTCTCGGCTGCGAGCCTTGCCTCTGGACTTTCGGACTCTTTCGTGCCTTGCCCCGGTTTGTGAACCAGGCTCTGTTTTCTCTGTTTTCTCTTCCCAAGGAGAGGGAGAGGTCTCGTAGATCATCTCTCAGTGGCCGTAGGCTATGTTTCGTGGTCGTAGGCCATTTTTTCCATTTGGAGCCCAGTTTCTAGTTTTTCGGAGCCGACAGCCGTGTGCCTCGGTTCGAGATCGCCTAACCACCTCCGTTTGCTCCGATTTTTGGCATACACCTTATTTCCTCCCTTTTGAGGAACACTGTGGCCTGAGAGACCAACTTCGTGGTCGAATGCCACCTCCGGTGCTTAACAGCCCATTTTCGGGGCCCCAGGTCGCGCGTTTCGGTCCCCGAACCTCCGTTTTGCATCCGTTTTGGTTCATTTTTGGTGGAGACCTTATTTTCATTGTTAGGAAGCTTGTAGGAGGGTGGGAGGCCAGCAATTGTTCTGAAAAGTTAGCTTTGTTTCTTCATCGCTCTCCGTCGCCCATTTTCCTCACTAAAAAGCTAATGTTGACCACCCCGGGGCCACTTTCTTTAGCCCTAAACCCCATATTTGTGTTGTACACACCTGGGAGGCCACCAATATGTATAGGTCGGCCAGTAATTGTCCTTGACCCTTTTGAACCCCTCTAAAAAGTTGGCTTTTCTCTCTCCTAGTTCACATTTTCTGGGTTTTGACCACATATTTGTGTTGTGCACACATGGGAGGCCACCTTTTTGGGGTGGCCGGCCAGCAATTTGCATTGACCCTTTTGACCCCTGGCCAGCCGGCCATGGGGGGTGGCCGGCCGGCCACCTGAACCTTTTGAACCTGGCCAGCCAGAATCCTCTCTCCAAATGCCTTCCAGTTGTACCCTCTGTTTCCCCCCAGATCATGTATCCGATGGGCTACCTTTTAGGGGGAAAATTTGAATTTGTTTTTCCCCCTCTTTCCTTGGCCTCTCTCCCTCTTTAGAACCAACACCCTACCTCATTTCTAAGGGTTAGAAAAACCAGCTGGAGCATACACCCTTCCCTCCTCCATTGTTCTCCATTTTCAAGCTCCAAACACCCATTGTTCTTGACCTTTCCACACCACCTCCAAGCCTATAACCTCCACACTTCATTCCAGCAACCTGAGACTGTTTTTCAAAGGTTAGGAGCTCCTCTTCTTGGACCAGAAGCTGCTGGAAGTTTGGACTACAAGGGTGAGTCCCTATTTTCCCTTTTCTTGCCTTATTTTGCATGATTGGTTAGCCTTATTTTCAAGTATTTTTGGGCTCTGACCTGAACTGGAAATAGTCATATTTTGAGCTCCTTTTCATGTTTGATCAAGGGTCTTTCCCTGTTTGAGGTCCCCTCCTCCCCCTTTGTGTTTAAACTCTCTTTTAGGCCTATTTTTGCATGATATTTTAGGCTTATTTGTGAGCTGTTTTGGACTTGGTTATAAACTGTGAAATGTCTTTTTTTGATCCCCTCTTAAACTTTGTTGAAGGTATCTTTGCCATTTGAGATCAGCTGCTACCACTTGTCTCTTTATCCCTCTTTTAGGCATTTTTCTTGCATGATAGTTTAGCCCTATTAGTGGTCATTTTCGTGGATTGATGTAAACTGTTAAGTGCTTCATTTTGAGCCCCTCTTAAACTTTGTTGAAGGACTCTTCACTATTTGGGGCCAGTTGCTGTCCCTTGTCTCTATTCTCTCTTTTAGGGCCATTTTTGCATGATAGATTAGCCCTATTTATGTTCATTTTTGAGATTTGTTATAAACTGGAAAAAGGCTTGTTTTGACATCATCTTCATGTTTTATTAAGGAAATTTTCTTATTTGAGGTCTCATGCTTCCTTTTATGCTTGATTGTCCCTTGTTTTGAGCCTTACACCTAAACTCTTGTTACATGCTTTGTTTGGCCTTCTAGCCACTGAAATCCAGGGGATTTTCAGTAGGGGGGTGACCCCCTCTCACCTTGACTTGTTTGGTGGCCTTTTGGCCTTCCAAAGAGACCCTATCTTGCATACTTCGAAGTCACTTTCCAGGTTCAATTTGGTGAGTTTTAGGACTACCATATTTGATTTTCAAAGTTGTTTATGCCATGCTAAGTGTCCACCTTGTATGTGCTTAATAATCCGTTGCATGGCCCTCTAAAGGAGCTCATCCTTTTGGCATGTGTTGGCTTCATTTCAGTGGTTATTTGGGCCTATTTTCACATGTTTTTTTCACCGATTTTTGCTGGTTTGGTAAGATTCCATGTGCATCCTGTACTTGCCATATAACTCATGTTTGCTAGTCAAAGTTACATGCTACTTTAGTCCATCTTGCTAGCACTTTTTGGCCATGCTTTGAACTAGAAATGTTCATGTTTTGGGACTGCCTTGGTTCCGTCTTCATGCTTCATGATCAAATAATGCATGCTTTGTATAGCTATAGGTCAATGCATGTGCCTAGTTTCGTGTTTCGGGACCATTCCATGCATCAGGTGCCATGCTTCCATGTTTCGGGATCATTTTGCATCACATTTCAGTGCTGGAACTTGCATGTTTGTATGTCATATTTCATACCTTGCCATGCCTTGTTAGAGTGGCATTCGTGTCTCGGGATCGGTCCTCGGTTTGCGTGCATGTGTACACGCATCCCGAGTGTCTCATTTTCATCTCATGGCTACTGATGTGAGTGTGGCTGAGGTCCACTCATGTTAGTGCAAGTCCATTATGCATTGTGTATGCCATTTCATTTCATAGCATTGCGTATGCAAGGTTGTATGTTAGAGCATTGTGTATGCCTCGTTACATCATGCATTGTGTATGCCATTTCATAGCATTGCGTATGCTAGGTTGCACGTTAGGATTGCATTCATGCATGTCATGCATATTGCATTGTGCTTGGGATAAGAGTTAGCCCAAGCACGGGAAACGAGGGACGTTTCGTACTCTGAGTGACGGAACGTGTCTCAATTCCCGGTCGCCGACACTCCGGATTATCCATGATGAAGTCTGGGCCTTGTTGTGTCCATATGTGCATTCATTTCATATTGAGTCATGCAATTCGACTTCTCAGCCATCATGCATCGAGATGCGAGATTGGTGGCATGAGAATCGAGGACTACACTCCCTGAAGAGTAGTCATGCATACATATGTGAAAATACTTTGCCATGCCCCTTTGTTGCTTTCTGTTACAGCAAATCAGAAATCAGCAACCTTTCGGAGCTTGGCACGCATCCCAAGAATAATTACAAACAAAGGCAAACTAGGGCATCGCAAGGGATTCTCCGCACAAGCCAACCCGAGCATGCATCATTCATCATTTGGAACAGAGCTGAGGCGGTCCATAGATTTGCGTGCCAATTTACTACTTTCCTAGATTAATTTGTTAATTAATTAGGATTCTGTATTTATGCGGGACTGTATTATTTATTCATTTAGGACTGTATTATTTATTCGGACCCTCTGCGCGAGGGCAATGTTGTAATAAGTGTGCGTGTGTGTGATGTATGTCTTCCAACCCCACGCCTTTCTCCTTTTTATTTACCCGCTTATGATGGTTAGATTAGGGCATGTTTCAATTAGCATACAGTATGATAGCATGCTTGCATTCATTTCATCTGTCTTGCATGCACCGGGCTCGGCGCATCATACTAACTGCATTTGTATCTCAATTCCAAGTTAAATACATGTTAGTTGTAGCATTTCACATGCCATCTTTAGAATAGCCGTGCCTATTGTAGTTGCATTTTGCATGTGTTGCATTAGGCATTTCTGTATAGTTAGCTTACCTAGTACTCCAAGCCAAAACAGTTTTGCATGTGTTGCATTAGGCATTTCTGTATAGTTAGGATCATGCATGGATTTCTAATTAGCTTCTATTTTGGCTTGGAGTACTCAGTAAGTTTTTATGCTTTAGCATCCTTGCATGTGTGTGAGTGACTGCCATGATAGCATGCTTACCATGAGGCTATATGCTTATGTGATATAACTGCCTGAATGCCTGTGGGTGAAGGTTGGATTATTTGAATTGGAATAAATGCATTGACTGTGAGTTTTAAGCCCACTAGATAAGTGGCAAAATCATGTTTTTCTAAGCCCACCCGAGGGTGGCAAATCCACGTCTTAGCCTACTTGCAAATAGCACCATCAAACCATTTTCAAAATAAACAAACATAAAATGTTTTGTCCCAATTCAGGCGATCCAGTCTATACTTGTATGCTGTGCGCATCACATAGTAAATCTTGGCTAACAACCGGCATAAGAACGCATAATGTTTTCAAAAATAGATATCATGGTTAGTAGAGGCCGATCTTTGATCGGGCGAGCGGGGGTGCTCACGAAGTGACCTTCCCCAATCGTACCCAAGTTCCCGAGCCGAGGCAACTTTGGTGATGATGGACACGTGGCCTTAGGCAAACGAGTCAGGGTTTCTTAAATTTTCCCAAAATAAAACATTTAGGTAGCGACTCTGTATCTGGCAAAGCAGTCCATGTTTGGCACTTCTTTCAAAATCTGTTTTCTCAAAATGATTTGCCAGATTTGGACTCTTTGGTTCAGATTTAGAACCGTGACAATTTGAGAGTCCGAACTTGTAGTGAGCCCAAATGAACAGAACGAGACTCATCCTCCCGAGGCGTTCGAGGACATCTACACAAGCCAATAGGTTTATAGTCCCATAAACCTATAGGATTATCCTTCTTAGGAATAAGTACAATGAAGGACCTGTTAACCCCTTTAGACAACTTGCCATTTGAATGAAATTCATGCAACAATTGAATTATCTCCCCTTTCAATATATGCCAGCACCTCAAGTAAGGTTAAAACCATTTGGGCCTGGGGCTTTATTCCCATCACAATCCTGAAGTGCTTCCCATATCTTAACTTCAGAAAACACAGCTTCCAGATTTCCTGCAACCACAGAACTAATAACGGCAAAATGGCCTAAGATTTTTGGCCAAGAGTTCTAGTTCTCAGAGAATAGTTGACTGAAATGCCTAACCATTTCTTGCTTCACCTGAGTTGGATCCTCTAAGCTCACACCCTCCACCAGAACTGAGTCTAACATATTCTTTCTCTGTCTTCTACTAGCCATAATATGAAAGTATCTAGTATTTTTATCACCAGTATAAGCCCACAGCTGTCTAGATTTTTGATGCCACAATCTTTCCTTACTCTTACTTAGCTGCCACACCTGGCTTCGAGTTTCTCTTCTACTCCTTAATTCCTGTTCATCAAGGGGCCTAGACTCTGCCTTCAGATCCCACTTATGTAACTCCTCCTCTGCTGACTTTAGAAGAGTGTCAATGTTGCCAAACATTTCCTTATTCCACACCCTTAAATGACTCCTAAGCATGTTCAACTTTCTCATGACTCTAAGCCCTGCCCACCCTTGAACTTGTACTTCCTCCCACCTCTTTTTGACTTCAGACATGAAGGAGGGATGTGATAACCAGGCATTAATAAACTTGAAGGGCTTTGGTCCCCAATCCCTATCATCATCCTTTAGCAAAATGGGGCAGTGATCTAAGATTGTCTTAGGTAAATCTCATTGCTTAAAAGAAAACTTTTCCATCTACTTTAGATCTAGCAGGAATCTCTCTATCCTACTCCACCTGTCCCCATCCAGTGCATTACACCAAGTATACTGTCTACCTAGCATATGCAAATTAGTCAGTTCTAACTTTTCTACAAACTCATTAAAGTCCTTCATCCCTCTCTCTCTCTAGAAGAGCATCATTTCCTCTCACCCATGTATCTAATTTCATTGAAACCCCCTTCCACACACCAAGGATTTGGAAAATGTGAATAGACATTCGCCAAAGTGTCCCATAATTGTCTCCTCTTGAGAACCTCATTTGGAGCATAGATATTCACTAATACACACCGAAAAGAATTACATGAGGTACCTAATAAAATGATGAAATTTTTACTGCTACAACATTCCTTGAGCTCAAAGACATGTGGCCTCCATATACACAAGAGACCACTAGCACTCCCATCTAAATCTACTAGCATAAATTCCATCCCTTCATAAGGCCAAATAGGTCTCACAACATATTCATCCATAGAGCGTCTTTTAGTTTCTTGTAGTAAGAGCACATCAACACTCCTCTGCTTCACCAAATTCTTAATTTTTCCCATTTTTTCTGGCCTTCTCAGCCCTCTAACATTCCATAATAAAATCTTCATGGTAAACTCACAACTTTCACCTAATTCCCTACGGGCAACCAATTAGGCTCTGGTTGCCCCTATATTACCTGCAATTCTGCTCAAATCATTATCTTCCAACTCAACAATTTTGCTCACTATCTTCTCCTCTTTTCTTTGGCAGTCCATTCCCAATAAAGTGTCTATCCTCACTGTTGACTTAGCCTCCTCCAGTAAGTGCCTCCTTTTGTTCACAGCCTGACTCTGGGAAATAGTCATGGAGGAAGCTGCTGCTACGGCTGAAACTCTAAGGATGGCTCCCCTTTGAAAACCAAGTCCGCCGACCATGCCTCTCCTTTGGTCCATACCATTTGTCCAAGACATACACCCTCTCTACACTGCAGCTTCTTTGAATTTACTCACTTTCGCAGTTCGTTTGACCATACTTGTCAGTTGTAGCATTTCGCATGCCATCTTTAGAATAGCTGAGCCTTCCATAGTTGCATTTTTGCATGTGTTGCATTAGGCATTTCTGTATAGTTAGGATCATACATGGATTTCTAATTAGCTTCTATTTTGGCTTGGAGTACTCGGTAAGTTTTATACTTTAGCATCCTTGCATGAGTGTGAGTAACTGCCATGATAGCATACTTACCATGAGGCTATATGCTTATATGATATAACTACTTGAATGCCTGTGGGTGAAGGCTGGGTTATTTGAATTGGAACAATTCGTTGACCGTGAGTTTTAAGCCCAATAGATAGTGGCAAAATCATGTTTTCTAAGCCCATCTGAGGGTGGCAAATCCACGTCTTAGCCTACTTGCGGGTAGCACCATCAAACCACTTTCAAAGATAAACATGAAATGTTTTGTTCCAATTTAGTTGGCTAATAACCGGTATAAGAACACATAAAGTTTCCAAAACTAGATATCATGGTTAGTAGAGGCCGATCTTTGATCGGGCGAGCGGGGGTGCTCACGAAGTGACCTCCCCCAATCGTACCCAAGTTCCCGAGCCGAGGCAACTTTAGTGATGACGGACACGTGGCCTTAGGCAAACGAGTCAGGGTTTCCTAAATTTCCCCAAAATAAAACATTTAGGTGGCGACTCTGTATCTGGCAAAACAGTCTATGTTTGGCACTTCTTTCAAAATCTGTTTTCTCAAAACGATTTGCCGGATTTGGACTCTTGGGTTCAGATTTAGAACCGAGACAATTTGAGAGACCGAACTTGTAGTGAGCCCAAATGAACAGAACGGGACCCATCCTCCCGGGACGTTCGGGGACGTCTACAGCAGATTTCACATCAAGTTAATAAATCTGCCACTTGTGCTGGGCAGCCAAAGAAATCTTTAACATGATAGTCTCCAACCGGGCAACTGGAGCAAACAGGTCACGACCCGAACCCGCCCCTATGGGTTAAGGCCATAACCAGCCAGTAATCACGAGATTACCTACGGCCTCAAACCAAATAAAACAAAAACTCATCAGAGTAAAGGGGCCAAACGGAAGCAAATTTAAAACTTCGTCCATGGATCTGTGCTTTTATGCACACCATAACATTCCAAACATTTATATGTTATTAACTCACATCAAAATATGTACTAACATAGAACACTGTACATACAGGATCATACAAGTTTAAGTCAGTCGAACCCAAGACTTATATACAAAAGTAGTCCAATACTTTCGCCAACATAACAAAACTATGAACAAAGGACAAAGGCGAAGACAGTCTCGTGCGTGAGACATTTGGGCTAACTCCTCAAAACTTTGACTGTTTCTCACAATTTCACTGAGGCTGGTTCTGGACGTCCCTTGGCTCACTTACATGTACATGAATGAGCGTAAGCGAAAGCCCAGTGAATAATATCAATAAAGAAGATACATAAGAAATCTTTGAAATAGTTACAGCAGACGGCCTTTGGCCCAATCACTTGTATCAATCGGCCTTCGGCCCAATCATTTATGTCAATCGGCCTTCGGTCTAATCATTTATGGCAATCGGCCTTCGGCCTAATCACTCATGTCAATCGGCCTTCGGCCCAATCATTTATGTCAATCGGCCTTCGGCCCAATCATTCATGTCAATCGGCCTTTGGCCCAATCATTCTTGTCAATCGGTGTCCACCATTCAAATTAATGAACTTACAAAACTTACATAGAAATAAACAATTGGACAACAGCATATTTCATATATCTTGTTAAGACATTACTCACAGTGATCGGTTGGTTGGTTTGCTCTGGAGCTCGACCCTACACATTCCATGAACACAAAAGGGTCACAAACAATTCAATCCATTCCAAATTCATATTTTTCTCTTTAGGCTTCATTCTTATCTCTTTAACTCAATTACAATGCTCAATGCATGCCTAAGAGTACTTGGAAGTGAAAGAGAACAGAAAATGAAACACAGAATGTCTTTTCAAAATTTCAGAAAATAGGGTCCCCGCCCGAGCGGACCCATAATGTCTGCAAAAGTACTGGATACATCAAAATTACGCTCGAGCTTGAAGTCTAGCACTCGAGCTGAAGGTCTGTCTAAATAGTTCCCCGCTCGAGTGGACATCCAAGTCTGCAAAAATACTGAGAGCACGAAATTCACGCTCGAGTAGCGGTTTCCCCGCTCGAGCGGACATCAAATTTTCTGGGTTTTCCAAAACATGTTCTTGAGCTCCAATTCGACATTCAGCCAACATTTCTTGCATGCAATAGCTCAAACTTCAAATACACTTATACTAACATGGTATAAACCCGAAATTACAACCCAATGAAGCTCAATTTCACAAATAAATCACATGCATGTCCCAATCTTTCATCAAACTCATTCTAACATAACAAATTCATGCATTCAAGCTCATATTCTCATGAATTGTACATGCATGTGCTATATAACCCTTACTCTCAACTTAGATGATGAAGAGGTGATCAAAACATGAGCTTCAACTACAAACTTACATGGATCATACCTTTTTGCTCAAACATACAATATTCAAAGCAATTACACGCATGCATGCATACATTGACCTTCAATTCAACATAATAACTCAATTTCATTTCAATTCTTACTCTTAATTACCCAACTAGCTTGAATACACAAAATTACAAACTAGAATCCATGAAATACTCACCTAGGAGCTTTAATTCCCACAATCTATAGCAAATTCTTGAGTAATCTTCAAGGTTTCCAAGCTTTGAGATCAAACTTCAACTCTCTCTCTCTCTCTCTCTCTAGCCGACCCTCACTCTCCTTCCTTAGAGCAATTCGGCTCAAATAAACAAGAAAAAGGAATTGAGTGTGTGTAGTGCCCCTCTTTAAGTCCCACTAGTCACAATTGTTTCCATATAAAATATTTGGGCACTAATTCATCAATTTAATCTGATCCGAATCAATTTTCAATTAAATCTCACCGTAGGCTCTAAAAATTACGCTAATAAAAAAGGCGCAATCGATTTCAGTTTCTATAGCCGATAGGGCCTTCAATTTAATTTTCAAAGCAGATAATCAAACAGATATTCCTACGGTAAACAAATAGAAATTCAAAGCCACATATTTTCACATAATGGCACACAAAATCATATTAAACACATAATCATGCTCATATTAAGGACCAATTAACATATTACGAAACAGGGATATCACAGTCTTCCCCCCTTTAGGAAGTTTGGTCCTCCAAACTTATTTTACCTTCGTCGGGAAACAAATGTGGATAGCATAGTCGCATTTCCTCCTCTTTTTCCCATGTAGCATCCGTCCCATAATGTTTTTTCCATTCCACTTTCACCATTGGGATGGACTTGCTTCTTAATTGTTTCACTTGCTGATCAACAATTCGTTCCGGCCATTCGGCGTATTCCATATTTTCATCAATAGCTACCCAATGATAATCAATCACATGAAACGGGTCTTGGAGGTAACCCCTCAACATCGACACATGAAACACGTTATGGATTTGTTCGAATCCCGGTGGCAAAGCAACTATATAGGCAACTGGGCCAAGCCTTTCCAGAATCTGAAACAACCCAATGTAACCGGGCGACAACTTGCCCTTCTTTCTAAACCTGGCTAGGCCTTTCATCGGAGATACACGGATGAACACATGGTCACCAACCTCATACTCAAGAGGTCTTCTCTGAACATCTGCATAATTCTTTTGTCAGTCCTGAGCTATTTTGAGCCTTTGCCGAATGATCTTGATTTTCTCAGAAGTGTCTTGCACAATTTCAGGCCCAAGTAAAGCTCTATCCCCGACTTCTGTCCAACAAATAGGTGATCTACACCTTCTACCATACAAAGCCTCGTATGGTGCCATACCGATGCTGGAGTGGAAGCTGTTATTGTATGCAAACTCTGTAAGTGGCAAATAATCTTCCTAACTCCCCTAAAAATCCAAAGCACACATCCGAAGCATATCTTCCAAAGTCTGTATTGTTCGTTCTGATTGCCCATCGGTCTGTAGGTGGATTGTAGTACTAAATCTTAGTTCTGTCCCCATAACTTCCTGCAAACTCTTCCACAATCTAGATAAGAATTTCGGATCTCTATCCGACACAATGGATACCAGAACTCCGTGTAAACGGATAATCTCATCAACATAAATTGTAGCCAGTCTATAAGCATTAAACGTGGTTCTAACTAGTAGAAAATGTGCAGATTTAGTCAGTCTATCAACTACAACCCAAATAGAATCCATACCTCGAGAAGTCCGAGGTAGGCCAACAACGAAATCCATAGTCACATACTCTCACTTCCATTCAGAAATAGGGAGAGGTTGAAGTAGACCGCCTGATTTCTGATGTTCAGCTTTGACTTGCTGACATTAAAGACACTTAGACACATATTCTGCATTCTCTTTCTTCATTTTAGGCCCCCAATAAGTTTGTTTCAAATCCCGATACATTTTATTATTACCCGGATGCATAGCAAATACAGATCTGTGGGCTTCATCTAAAACCCTCTTCTTTAGTTCCGGAATATCTGGGACACATATTCTGTTTCGAAATTTCAACACTTCATTTTCAATACTGAACTCTACCTTCGAACTTGTCTCAAATTCATCAATCACTTTCTTGAGGAATTCATCATCTTTCTGTTTCTGCTTGATTTCATCAATGATTGCCGGCTCGGCTGTAATAGCGGCTATCAATCCGCCCTGTTCACACATTACCACTTAAATTTCAAACTTCTCAAAATCTTACAAGATGTCCTTCTGTTTAGTAAGCAAACAAGCCATACTCCCCGTTGATTTTTTGCTCAAGGCATCAGCCACTGTGTTAGCTTTCCCGAGGTGATACTGAATCTCTAAATCATAATCCTTTATCAAATCCAGCCATCTCTTCTGCAG